TAAATAATATAAGATATATTAATTAACTTAAACTATAGTATTTAATTACAATTATAGTACATACTAAACATATTCTATAATTTGTATTAAGAATATGACAATGAGTTCATCTAATAAATATTCATTGTAAAGGCTATAAATAACATAAGATATTAATTAACTTAAACTATAGAATTTAATTACAATTATAGTATATACTAAACATATTCTATAATTTGTATTAAGAATATGATAATGAGTTCATCTAATAAATATTCATAAATTGTAATGGCTATTTAAATACGATATTAACTAACTTAAACAATAGTATTTAATTACAATTGTAGTATATACTAAACATATTCTATAATTTATATTAAGAAATTGATAATGAGTTTATCTGATAAATATTCATAAATTATAAAGGTTAAAATGAAATAAGATATTAATTAACTTAAACTATAGTATTTAATTACAGTAGTTAGTATACTAAACATTCTATAATTTGTATTAAGAATATGATAATGAGTTCATTTAATAATTAATAAGTTGTAAAGGCTATAAATAACATGATATCCAATAATTTTTTATGATACAGAATACAGTAGCTCATAAATTTGAATTACAGGTAGGAATAACATTTACACTAGAGTACAATACAGAAAATGTATTTTTTTGTTTTATAAATAATACTGATGAATTAGTGCAAATTTAAATACTAATCTTTTGATTAAAAATATTTTTATAAGTATTATTAGTACTGTTACGTATAATCCGTGGATCCTTTGGTTTTTTTAAAAACTGTAGGATATGAAATTAATATCTAGCGATGTTGTTTATGAATACTCAAGTGTCCGTTATTGCGTTAATCATCGCTAGTAAGTGAAAAGACCTGAAAAGTGTTTCAGGTATGTTGGCAATTGACGTGTTAAACTTAATAACAATACGGATACTAGAATATTCACGCTCCATGTAATCAGAGAGTGTTCAATTGTGTAAGTTTACGTATCCTGACATTAGATCAACATACAAATTCCCAGCATTAATAAGCAAACTGTCAACAAATAAGACTTAGAGATTCCAAATTATTCTGTAAATTATTGACTGATTTTCCGTGTAGTCGTGGAATGTCTTTTGACTAATATTCATATTTTATATTATTAATCATATAAAAATATGACTATTAGTCATATTTTATATTATTAATCACAAAAAATAAAGATTAAAATGCTGTCAACGAGATTACTGTACTCCTCACCCAATATTTTCCCGCCAATTTATTAGACAAATTATTTTGATGATATAATGGCTAGATAAAATTTCAAAAAAGTATGTTTGTACATGATGTAAACTTGTTTTGGCACACAGGAAGGAATCTTAAAAAAAGGGTCTGCCAGTCAACGTGTTACACCACCTGTTGGTTGTCTTGACATCCAGTGAGGTTGCTCTGACCCTCAAGAGAAATTAGAAAACAAGAAATCATCATGAAACTAAATTTGAAACAAAATCATCACGAGATAAAATCACAAAAATGATTTTTTAAAAAAATCTTAGAAAAGAAAAGTTATAACAAAAACTTATTTGCAAACTTGAATGCCCATTTATAGAGCTAGGCTTTTGATTAATACTGTAAGATGGATTGCCAATATGCAATATCATAAAGATTATTCATTTAGTAGCAGTATTAAATGCAAATTAATTATGATTGTTTTTTTAATAGACTTTCAATATATTGTTATTTTGTTAAATAGATTTCTTGGATGTAATTAAATATTAATTAGGCATAAGTAGATATTGTCAATATAGAAAACATGGTACTAATGAAAATATCATTTTGTTGTTATAACCAATTAGCAAGTCCCTGGAAACTATATCTCATTTGGAAATATATTGAGCTCTCAATAGTGTTTTGGGATAGTTTCAAAATTAAAATTAAACTTGTGCAAGTGTATTGCTCTTGACTTGAAATGATATTTCTAAGAAAAAATATATTTTTAAGTACATACAAAATTTTACAAAGCATCAGTTATCATTAATTCATATCAACTAATGAGCAAACAAGCACAATGTGCAAGCTTCTCCATGGTGATTATAATAATAATAATAATTAATAATAATAATAATAATAATAATAAAAATAATAATAATAATAATTAATAATAATAATAATAATAATAATAA